ATCAGTCGCTTCCGAATTGAGGAATATTTTCATTATTCTAATACAGGTATCCATTATACATTCTGTTCATTACATACTAATAAAACAAGCTTTTGTATTTAGGACCACATAAATTCGCCATCACTACTATCTGTATTAAAAATCTCTGTACGAAAACAATCGACATTAGAATCATCCTACCAATTCATTTTAAAAACTTCTCCCTATGTGCCATTCCAATTCTATTTTTCTTATTCACGATTCAATGGTTTTTCGTGTGTCTTCGGAGCAAGAAATCAGGTCATTATTTTGGCTCAGTCAACCAAAAGATTAACATGCGAGTGTACTTGCCATAGTCTGCTATACGAGTTGTAGTAAATAGGAGATTTGTTGTATCAGTAAGATAGTCTTGAATATGCATATAATAATAGATCCAATATTTAGGCTATTAACTTTGTAGGCTTTTATTTTTACGGGGGTAAATCATCGATGATTTACCATTCGAATGACTGCTCCCGCCTGGGTGTGGCGGGAGGGAGTGCCAGACTCTTACTGACTAAAACCACCCCGTTCCTACTTCTGCACTTTGAGCCGGAGCCCCGGTAACCCGTTAGATCCTCCGCGACGACTTTGTAGGTTAAGACAGCTTTGAAGAAAGGGGTATGGCAATGCTTGAAAATTACTAAGAAGAAAAATAATTATAAGCTATTGAATGAAAAGTAAACGTAGATATATGACAATGGAATTGCTAGGCACATTCAGCAAAACGTATACGACTATAATAAAGCTATAAGAACAAGATGTTTCATCGCTGAAAATGTGTTTCCTTTCAATGTTCTTGTAGAAATTACTTTCAACTCGAAATCATTATTTATTTTACTAACGAACGTAACACTAGTAAGCGAATTGTGTTTACGCTACACAATACGAACGTGACGCAATTTGTAACACCCATTGGGGGAGAGGGGAAGGGGGGAGACTTCAAAGGGCTCGCCGACAAAGCGCTAAATAAGATGAAAAAAAATATACATAGAAACGACAATAGCCAGGGAAATCGGGCCTTTGCAAAGAATTTTCCCGTATTTTTCCTTTTTGTCAAAATTGCGTTTGCTAGTGCAGAGTGTGCGCTTCGATTCTTTTGTCGTTCATTTAACACGTTTCGGGGAAATAGCGCTTTGTTAGCACCACATGTTTTGATAGACGTTGTTTCATGAAAATGGTTTTGTTTACAAGATATGCCATTTTATGTTTGACGTTTGGCTTTTTGATATTTGAATATGGCGCTGTCAAACGGTATGTCCGCTGTAAACTAAACATATGAGACCAGCTCTAGTTTGTTGTGCAAAAATATTTTCCAGTTTCCCAGTATTACTAACTATACTACATCGCATAGTTTGTTTTCTTATTTTTTCTGTATTTTCCTTCTACAATTTTCAGTACTTCTTTCAACATTATTCTATTGTGATTTCATTGAATCCTTCTTACCTATTGTCCACATAATGATTATCTTTTGTTTTTAACTTTGATTCCAATTACAAAATTGACCTACTTCATGAATAAAGGATCTTTTCGTAGGACCTAGAACCTTGTCATGTTAGCCGTAAGGTTTCTTTTAACTTGACATGCAGTTTGATTGTCTCTGTTTTAATCGACTATCTATTAAACTCCAGAATTTAGAAATATTGGTTAATATTTGAGTATGTAAAATCTATTCTGTTTGCTTATTTTGGCCATAATTATGTAATGAAAACAGGATTCTTTTACAATAAAAACAATTCAAAATGAAGATACTCAAAATAATTATAATTTCACCGAACTACATGGTAGCAATTTCGATAAAAAATATAGATAAATCATGATAATGATCGAAAACATGTAATTTTAATTTACTAAGCTTCCTTAATTATTGAATTTACGATAATTAACAAATTAAAAGATAGCACTAATGATGTCGACAAGGTTTTTTGAAAGTATTTGTTTATCAATGCATGTCATGAAATGGCATCATGTTGGTATCTATTATTGTTTGCCATCAATTTTTTTTTATAAATAATCGTAGGATTTTCTCCTGTGTCGGTCGAGTGCGTTTTACAAACATACAACTTCACATGACACCCAGACCCGGAACACCAATTCGTGGTTCACACAAAGAGTTGCTCCGTGTGAGAATCGAACCCGCGACACGTTACGCGGCAGCCAGTTGCCCAACCAGCGCCCCAACCGTGCAGTCCAATTGTGAAGTATTTTCCTTTTCAATTAAGTAAAATTGCGGGTTACTCACGTGAATATACTGAGAAAAGTTCTACTAGTTAGTAGTAGCGGTCGCGGCGACGTCGCGACCGCGCACGCTGCTCATGAGGAAGAACCCCTCTGTGGTTCGAAACTAGTAGAGCTTTTCTCAGTATATTCACGTGAGTAACCCGCGATTTTACTTAATTTAGTATGTCTCACGATAGTTATTATAAAAACATATTTTCCTTTTTTCACTTTTGAAACATAAACAAATATAAAACAAATAGTCTGTCAGTGAAGCTAGGGGCTCGTTCCAATGTTGATTCGAGTGGAGAAGAACGAGCAAGAAACTCCTTGCGCTACTCTTTTTGCCAGATGTAGACGCACCCTTACACAACTGAAGAAAATTCCCACTGCATACAGAATAGATCCATTTCTACTTTTCCGATCTCATAGAGAAAAAGGAGGGTAATATTACAAGCATACCACTCATTCTTCCACACATTATTGCAATATAACAAAACCGAGTTTCTATAAATATTGATATGCGCAAGAGTGGCACTTGAAGTCATTGCGGACGGATAAGCTGTTATCATTCGTTATCAGTTAATCCAACGTACCGACAGACTCATTACACCTGCATTAGTACCTGTATCTACCTGTTGTTGTTATTATAGATCGGATATTGGAGTATTATTGCCGATAGGGGTCGCTATAGGCGAATAAGTAGTTGTGTTATTTCCTGAAAGAAGGAGACTGAACAATCTGATTTTTAATGTAACGATTGTATGGCTGTAATCACCGACAATTTCTACGACGGACACACACCCACTACACATTGCACGGCAACCGGCTGCCCCGCAACTTGTAGCTTGTTCAATTCCCGCATGGAGCAAAATTTTTGTGGTCCACAAATTTTTGGATCTGGGGGTCATGTGTATGTGAACGTGTCTGCTTCTAAATGCACCCACGACGTAGGAGAAAATCCTAGTGTGGGGCAACGTAAAAAAAGAAACATTTCAAATGGGCCCCAAATTATTTTGTGCCCCAGCGAAGTCTAGGACGGCCCTGGCTGTAATGATATGTAATGTTTGATTTCCTCTTATTTTATACTTTTAAGATTTGTATACATATATTATGTGACATGAATATCATCATCTATATTAAATACTTTCTAAGATTGTCTAGATACCACTGACTGTTTGTCATTATAAGCCCAGGTCCCTCCTGGGCTTATAATTTCTAATTATAATAATAATAATGCTTAAACCTTCTCTATGCGAGAAGAGGCCTTTGATCAGCAATGGCTTATAGGCTGTTAATGATGAAAATGATGAATCGGTAGATACTTACAACATCCACGAGCACAATAGGGATTGTATAACCGTATTTTATTCCACCACTGAATAACCTTAGTCTGTTTCATATCCCATGCCTAAGTCAGCCAGTAAATAAGTGGCTGTATAGTCAGATCACACAATGGTTATCTCAAATAATTATCTATGTACGACTTTATATTTTATTGCACTGCTATGCTAATCATTGACATTGTGTAATACTTATTTGGTGTTTTATGGTTGTTGGTTCATTGGTCGTTTGGTTATAAAATGTGACCTGTAGATAGAGCGATATCGGTTAGATTCCTAGGTTGTAAAATTTTTGTGGTTTAATATTTTTTATTTTTAAATTCTCAGTCAATGCTAATTTCAGGGTCAGCTATTGATGATTAAATTATGTGTACGCAGTGTATGGGAATACGATAAACTACTACTGAAAATTTAGTTGAATATAAGTAGCCTTCTGACAATGTGTCTTGGAATATCTAATTTAAAATTATGCTTTATAAGGCTCTATAATTAAGTACCAATGTTCAAGAAAACAATTTACGACTTAAACTAAGACATTAGGAACTTGTTTACATAACATATCTCCAAGAAAAACTGATCACTATCCCATTAACGATAAGTCTCAAAATCGAACACCCAATCATTAACCGACCAAAAATAGAATAATTCATTAGTTAATGCGCAAAACGTCATACTGAGGAAACAACATAAATCTTTGCAATTATCAAATTCTCGGTGGCACGCTCATCTGCATACACACATACACACAAACACACACATGTAAGTCGTACGCACGCGCGTCGGTAAGATCAAAGAGAACGCGACCCCTTTGTAGGTGCCGCGGTCGCGTGCTGTCTTTTTCCCCAGGCCGCTAGGTGGCGTTAGGGAGCCCGGGTGCGAGTGAGACAGCTATCAGCTGATTACAACGCTTACTACGTGCATATTTCACCTCGTTATCCTGCCTTGTTTGTGTTAGAACTAGTGATGGGACACCACTCGGATAATCTTATCGATAAGCCGTGATTAATGATCGTTTTTGTGAATGACTCAACGTTTTTATACAGTGTTAAAATTCATGTCTGAGATTAAGAAGTGTTTTATGTAGATAAATTTGTTAATTTTAACCTTAGCCATGTGTGAAACTTAATATTGAATTTTTCTCACATTAATTATGTTGAGTAAATATTATAATAATGACAGCTGATACTTATCGATTAGTGTTTTAATACGAGGATTAATATTTCGTGTCGCAGTCGTTTTCCTTGTATTCTGCACCTAAATATATGTTATCTACGTAATAAAAATTAATATATTATAATATTTCTCTTGGCCATTTCTTAACAAATTAGAGGTCAGCAATGAATTTTAACCTAACTTTTACTATCCAACAAAATTTTAAACAAATAAGCACCAAAATAACACTTGCTTTTCTTTATTCAACAGTTTATCGACAGCGGCATCGACCGTGTCCCATCACTACAGGTACAGCACCCGTTTGCAAGACAGGGATCTGCCGATATCGATACTAGTAATTAAAATAGACTTACAGCGTCTCAACTATGCACACAACGCTATCGTAGATGGCGTGGCGATCGTTTATGGGAAACTGGACGTGGGAAGAGTATGAGTCACCTTAGTCGAGATGATTTTATGACGACAGTTGATTATTAGTAAATGGGTTCGCGAAATCTAGGTACACAGCTGTTGTTTAGGTATTAGTTAGTCTTTTTTTTTTTTTTTTTTTTTAAGGGGGGAAAATCATCGAATGACTACCCCCGCCTGGGTGAGGCGGGAGGGAGTGTCAGACTCTTACTGACTAAAAACCACCCCGTTCCTTCTCCTGCACGTCGAGCCGGAGCCCCGGTTACCCGTTAGGTTCTCCGCGACAGGTATTAGTTAGTCTAGGCTTTGAAGGAATTAGGTAGTTTCAGTGTATTTTGAATTTCAATCAAATTTATGTATTGATAAAGTTGAGCTAGTTTTGTTTTTAAATTCGAAATGAGATTGATATTGGTTTGAGAATTACTGAAATCAAACTTTAAGGCGACCGGAAGACTCTTTTGAATAATATGAAATCATCCCGCTTTTTATCTCCAAAGGGGTAGGCAGAGGTGCACAACCGGTACTTAATGTCACTATACAATGTAACACCACATTTTCAATATTTATGTTATGAGTCCCATGTAATAGAGGGTGAGCCTGTTTATTATTTAAACATCGATAAAACCTAAATTTGTCTACATATCTCTTCTAAGTCCAAATAACCGTTATTTTTCTTTGTCCATAGTCTTTGAGAATATTAGATAATCATTTACTGAATCTGTTTTTGTCCGTTAGCCAGTTGTGGTTAACTTTGACCTTCCGAACTCAAGTTGAAGAGGTCAGAACTTTAAGTACATAGTTAAGTTTCTTAATAACTTGGCAATGATTTGTTTGTTATTTAAGATTTATACTGACTTAAGTTAAGAGTTATTTGCGAATAGGATGTTACAGTGAAATCGGTAATAAAGTAATATATTAAATAATTATTTTATGACTAGCTACTTTCGCGCGGTTTCAGACGCTCTGCTCAGCTCCTATTGGTCGTAGCGTGATGTTTTATAGCCTATAGCCATCCTCGATAAATGCTCTATCCAAGACAAAAAGAATCATTCAAATCAGACTTGTAGTTACGGAGATTAGCGCGTTCAAACAAACAAAAAAACAAATTCCTTCCGCTTTATTTAATAGTATATATATAAGATTACAAGCGTAGCTTAGCGAGTGGCGGATATGTGCCTAGGTATAACCGGACTTAGGTACTTTAGACAATCGGTTTTACCCATATTACAATGGCTTTTAACCAGTTGTAGATAGAACAGTTCCAAGCTTAGACTAAAGTATTTTATCCCCGAAGGGGTAGGCAGAGGTGCATCGGATGTAACACCACTTTTCACTATTTATGTTATGAGTCCCACGTAATAGGGGGTGAGCCTATTGCCATACACCGGGCACGTTTTCAGACTCCGTGCTACTACTGAGATTTTTTTTTTCAAAATCCCAGTAATACTTTGCTCGACCCGGGAATCGAACCCGAGACCCCTTGCCAGGCAGTCGTATTAGCGACCACTCTGCCATCGAGGCAGTCGATGAAAAATCACCTTTTTTACTTTAAATTAAGTTGTTAAATTGATCCATACTAGCTAATCTAAGACAAGTACACATACACTACAATCTAAATAACCTGCACCGATTACAAAAAAAAAACAGACGTAATAAATAGAAAAAAAAAATACAAAATACCTGCGAATCGCAAAGAAAACGTACTCGTTAAGATGGATAATTCCATACAATCGTCTAGTATAAAGAGAATAACGGTATTAACCAGTATTAACCGTGAAATGACAAGGCGCGGTCCCTACGACCCCACGTTAATATTTTACAGGGAAATGACATCGTCAACTGACGGCTCTGCGCATTACTTTTTCCTTTTGATGTTCGCTCATGTCTGAAGGCAATATAATTTTGTTTATTTCCATTTAAACTGGGCGGTTTTCGTTCGATATGATGTTTCTGTGTAGGGTTGATTTTTACTTTTTTTTATGTGTATTTATTTATTTATCGGGTTTGATTTTTGGCGTTGTTTACTAAGCAGTCGGTTAATCGTATATATTTTTATGCGGTTGCTATATTTTTTTTTATTATATTTACCGCTATATATTTTAATAACTAATAATATATATAATATATTGTTGAATTTATGCGTAGTATTTCGTACTAAACAATAATCAATTAGCAACTACGACTATCTTTTTTAACTTACAAATACAAATGCCCAGTAGAGTTGATTTTAAAATTGTACGTTGCCACGCATGATCGGTTGGGATCAGACGACTGCCTGTCAAGTAGCCTGTGACGACTGAACGTCAGCATAATGATAACTTGTGTTACGAACTGGCTGACATCGTGAAATCAAGTTATCATGCATTTTACATTATTAACCTTTATGAGGGGTCACTAATCATATTAGATTTGCTTTCTAAGACTGGACGGTAGTTATTTTTGCTGTATAGTATTTTGTTAGGTTATGCGTTGCGTTTTTAAACGTCATTTCTATGTTTAGTAATCTAATAGGGTATTCTGTAATTTTCAATTTGAAGGATCGAAGGGAACTCAGTCGTGGTCCGTGTCATTGGTTGCTAGAATAATCTCGACCAATGGCGGGCGAGAATGCGATCCAGCTCAATTCGAAAGTTGACGTTGAATGACAGTTACAGAATAGCTGTTTAAAAAGTTTTCTTGTTATATTCCAAGTAAAAAAGGTTCTACAGAGCACAAAAAGGATTTCGTGAGCACTTTTACAGTGCAATTGAAACTCACATTCATTTATTGCATACTTTAAACTTTGCACTGTACCATTTGAATTAACATAATTTCGTAGAAAATCTCATATAATATTTTATTACGTTTCAAACCATATAGTCGCAAATTTCCTGAAAAATACTTAAAGCTATTACGACTTACAACTTAGGTAAAAATACATTAAATATACTTTCAACCCTCGCGGTGCCGATGTAAGGTCTAAAGGACCCCGCGGGTGAATTTTCGCTAAACAATGCATACATTTATATTTCCTTTGAAGTGGCGCCGTAGGGCTCGCGTCATCTGCAGGGTTAACCCGCAACCTGTTTATTACACGTGGAAAATTGAATCCGCGACGTTGTATTTTTTTAGTACCTATTTCATCTAGTTCGTTTTATGGGCATTATATTTTATGTATGTGGTTTGAAAAGGTAAATAAGGGGTTGAAAGAAAGGTGTGTTATTAAAAACGTGTTGAATATATTTACACATACATATTATATACGTAACCTCACGCTTTATCTCCCATAGGAGTAGACAGAGACTTTGGAACGCCAGTTGTTACGATTCTTGCCTCATTCGCTTCATCAACAGTCATCGGTCTTTTCATGCATGCTCGTCTGTTACGGGTACTTTTTATTTGGACCTTCTTTAATATATCGCTAATCTGGTCGATATATGTCCGTCAAGGCCGCCCTCTACCGACGGCTCCATTCATATCCGCTCTGTATACTTCTTTCGTTACTCTGATTTCATTCATCCTTTCTACATTATTTATCTATTTGGGATTAACTCTATATACTAATTTTAATAGTAAACATTTGCCTACATTAGCTAGGCATATAGTATACTAGACCTTATTACCATGTATAAAGACACAGAACAGTTTTTCATAGGTACATAATAAAACTTTTTGATACAAGTTCAACGACCAACTTGTTCTTTCTTATCAAAATTATGATCTTTGACCCCAACGAGACCCCAATTCTTTCGTTACGTGACTTGGAAGACCCCACTTAGACACGAAAAAATAATGCGTAGACGCATGTTTCAGCTATTAAATTTCGTTATACCGTGGTGTTGGACTGCTATAGAACATTCTTAAATAATTTTTTATTATTAAAATTATGAACTTATTAATATTTTTCGTAGATTTCATATGCATAATGCATTTTATAAACAACCTTTATTAGTGTGCACTTATGTTTATTCATTAACAGATGTAGTGTTTCAAAGGTTGCACAGATTCTAGATAGATATACATAGACGAATAATAAATACTAAACATTTTTTGTCCTTACTATAATATCACACTTACCGTAAAACTTTATTCAAAATTTTCGTACTATTTAATATTAGTATACCATTATACTATTTATTATTCACGAACTTCTAGCAAAAAATCTGTTCACACTCCAAAACAGATTGACACATCACAGATGTCGTTACATTAATCATACAAATTACTATATCATAAAATCTATAAAAGCAACACTTAAAAATTCAACCCCTCACGGTCGGGTCTAATCGGCCCCCGGTACAAACGAGCCGACAACCCAGTATTAACCCTTTGACGTGTCGTGTGGTTTAATTGCCCCCCTTCCTCGTGTTTATTAAACGGAGTCTCGGACAACACTATTTGTCATGTCAACCTGTTCCCATGGCCTTATTCTAAAAAAAACAAACAATTTTTTTATGTTTTCTATTCATAAATTATAAATTAATAATAGTGTGACATCATTGTTTGTATGTATGTAATAAATGATAAATTAAAACAGTTCAAAGTTTCCATAAGATAAACATTTTTTTTTGTTTACAACAATCGTTATTAATTATTTTCTTGAATTGAAAACGTGTAAAAATTGTAAGCAATTTATCTTATATCACTTCATCATTTATTCCATCATATTAGTTGAGAATTTTAGTCATCGAAACACCCTATAACCCTTTTCTCAATACAATAGAAATCAAATAAAAAATCCAACAAGCCACTGAAACCACCTTCAAGCACAATCACATTATAAATAAAAAATTAATACACCAACATACTCATTTGACATGACCCCTTTTTACCTGCACAGTAATAAAGGCGCTTAATAGACGCGCTATTAATTTAAATTCCCTGACTTATGCCCCTAGGAC